AAGGTAGCTGGAAAATTCTAAAGTCTGGAAATGGCTAACGGTTTAACGATAGCTTTCTTAAGTCTCCACTCGGGCGGAAGTTCAGCAGGGTGTTTGTAGACGAATTCCACGACATCATGAACTGTCATCCAGGCCGTGTTGTTCCATGGAAAAATCTCGCGCAGCATTTTGGAAAGACGCTCATCAGGATCGTTCTTATGACAGGGACGGGACCACCGCACCGTGTCGCAAATTTCATCAAACCATTCGGCCTGCATCCTGGCCTCGTCACCGAAGTACGATCAGATACAAACCGTCCAGAGATCGGGATGCATGTCATACGTATTCAGCCTATCGCAGCCATGCAGTCTCTGGGACACCTCGTCTCCGCTTTATGCAAACGACTTACTGAGGAGGAACGTATTCTGGTGTTCTGCGGCTCCCAGGGCGACGCACAAGCATTCGCATTGAAGGCCAAATGTGCAGTTTATCATAGCGATCTATGGGAGACTGGAAATAGCAGAGAATCTAACCTTTCTCGATGGGATTCAGGCGAAACAAAGGTGATGGCATGCACCACAGCATTTGCCCAGGGTATGGACAGGCCTCATGTCCGATATGTGGTGATTTTCAAGCCTTCGTACGGCCTTCTCGTCAACAACCAGATGCTCGGTCGTGCGGGAAGAGATGGAAAGGAGTCACACGTATTTTTCCTTACGGAACGACGTGGGAAGACATACAGAGGACCATCGACTGACCAATGTATGGGAGAGCTGGACGATCTAGTCCACGGTACGGAATGTCGGCGCTTCACCAACATGATCTGCATGGATGGCCCCCACCTCGCTGTGCTGTGCACGGACGACCCTCCAGGTATCCTGTGCGATGTCTGTGATCCAAACAGCGTGATCCAGCGACTCTCCATTGAGGCAATAGCAAATCCATTCAGGCCACCCGAGGCATCTGAGCATGCAGTCACCCCAGTTGTTGCAACTGGATTTGTGCCAGCGTCGTCGCTGCTTTCGATGAATATGCTTGTGAGTGCTTAAATACACCCATAATCCTATTGTATGTTTATATTCAAATGGCATAGTCCCACACGCTCACCCCACAGCCTTCCCAGTCGAGCGATGCTTTGTACGACGCGGGTGCATTAGAGCTCACTAATATTCTAAGCCAGGGAGGACGGGTCGTCCTCACCACCAAAACCCGCGGCGCGCGGCGCGCCACCTGAGGGATCGCATTTTCGGACGGCGCGCCCACCAAGGAACACGTTCCCGCCGCAGTCGGGACCATGACTCAGCTTCGACCCGACCGTGGGAAATTACCTTATATAGGGAGCGAAACCCTTTCCGACGGACCTCTTCTCTGCGATCGCGACCGTCGTCTCGAGACCTTCCCACGACCTCGTCTCGTCGAGCTACGGCCGAAACGGTCTAAGCCTAAGCCGCGGCGCGCCACCAAGGCCATGGCGCGCCACCCTAAGTCCATGGCGCGCCACCCTAAGTCCATGGCGCGCCAGCCAGAATGACATGGCGCGCCGACCTAAGGCAATGGCGCGCCAGCCAAAATGACATGGCGGGCCGCTGGACCATGCGACGGGGCGCCAGCCTAGGGGGGTGGGAAAATATTGCCCAAAATGGTAAAAATGAAAAACATAGAGAAAGATGGTGGGATCCTGGGGGTACGAAGGAAAAGTGTGTGGTGCGAGATTTGAGCGAGCTACGGAAGAAATGAGGGAAAAACATGGACGGTTTTGAGGGAAGATGATGAGTCAAGAACGAAGGTCAGGATATAGAAAGACAGAGGCGAAGGGGAAGGAAAAGTCAAGATGGAGGCGAAAAGAGAGTGGGTGGATCAAGGGAAAGGAAAAGGAAAAGGTGAAATGACGAGTGAAAGTCGAGTTGCAGGGGGCAAGGGCGAGGGAGAGGACGATCAAGGAAGGAAAAGTCAAGGGAAAGTCAAGAGAGAAGGGGAAAGAGAGGGGTGGATGAAGAGGTGAAATGAGGAGTGAAGAGATGAGTCAAAGGGGACAGGGTAAGAAAGGTGGATGAAGGAAGGAAAAGTCAAGGGAATGGTTGAGGGAGGGATGGAAGAAAGAGTTTGAGGGAGAAAGGAGGGAAAGGAGATGATATGAGAAAGGAATGGAAAGGAAAGAGGAAAGTGAAAGCCAAGAGGGTTTGCGAGAGTCAAGGGGAAAGTTGTAGCAAAAGTCAAAGTCAAAGTGAAAGGGAAGGAAAAAGTTGTAGTGGGAAGTCGAGTGATGGGAGAGGGAATAGAGAGAAAAATGAAAGTGTGAAGGAAAGGAATATAAGAGGAAGAAGAAAGAAAAGATAGAGAAAGAGGAGTCGGAGGGAGGAAAAGTGAGGGAGTAGAAATATGACATAAGTGAAAATGGAGTCAAGTGTGAAGAGGGAAGTGAAAATGGGTGAGGAAATAGACAGACTAATCAAAGTGTTGAGGAAAGGAGATGGGAAAAGGAGTTGGAGGGAGGAAAAGTGAGAGAGGAGAAAAGTGCGAATGGAGTCAAGTGGAAGAAGGGAGAACAGAATGAGCCGGCGAGAGTTAGGGTTGGAGCTAACGTAGATAACCCCGTTAGCACGTAGATAACCCCGTTAGCACGTAGATAACCCCGTTAGCACGTAGATAACCCCGTTAGCACGTAGATAACCCCGTTAGCACGTAGATAACCCCGTTAGCACGTAGATAACCCCGTTAGCACGTAGATAACCCCGTTAGCACGTAGATAACCCTATAGGGTGGACACCTAAGTGGATGGTCCATCCGCAGCCCAGATTTTCGTGTCCTCATAATACATGATTTATGCCACCAAAAAGCAAAACTGAGTATTGCATCATATTTTTACCCCTCTTAGCCTGAACTATCAACTCTCACTTTTCGGATTACTAAGCAGCACTTATCAGAATTTCCTTTTGAAGATTTACTGTTTTCGCAGGTTCAAATTCAACATAGCTCAGTGATATATGTAAAATTTACCACATTGAGTATCTCAGAAAATCTATTTATATACATATTATGTAATCACAAAATGACATTGGATACAACTTCCATATTAGGCCAGTGCGGATCATTTACCAAATCATGTACATTCAAAAAAATCTCAGTTTAATGAAATAGGGGGTTAGTATGTTGCCAAAAGATGGGTTATGTCAGGAACACATATATCAATTCTGTATGAAAAGAAGTCGAGGCCTTTACATCATCAAAGCTATGCTCTCCCTTGAAAAACTGCAATTTTACAGGAAAGATCAACTTTACAGTGAATAGCCACTTGATATGTTGAAGGAAAACTTTGACAAAAGATGAAATATGTTTGTGCAGCATATATATATGACATATGATCACCCCATTGGATACTTTTGACTTTTGAATACCTTTCCACCATGAAAAACACCGGATTTGCCTATAAATACACTAAATATTAGAGTACATGCAAATTTGCCACTTGATATGTTGAAGGAGAACTTTGACACAAGATGAAATATGTTTGTGCAGCATATATATATGACATATGATCCCCCCATTGGATACCTTTGACTTTTGAATACCTTTCCACCATCAAAATTTCCAGATTTGCCTATAAATATACTAAATATTAGAGTAAAAGCAAGATTGCCAGTTGATATATTGAAGGAAGCCTTCGACAAAAGATGAAATATGTTTATCCTGCATATATCTATAACATATGATCACCCCATTGGATACTTTTGACTTTTGAATACCTTTCCACCATGAAAAACACCGGATTTGCCTATAAATACACCAAATATTAGAGTACATGCAAATTTGCCACTTGATATGTTGAAGGAGAACTTTGACACAAGATGAAATATGTTTGTGCAGCATATATATATGACATATGATCCCCCCATTGGATACCTTTGACTTTTGAATACCTTTCCACCATCAAAATTTCCAGATTTGCCTATAAATATACTAAATATTAGAGTAAAAGCAAGATTGCCAGTTGATATATTGAAGGAAGCCTTCGACAAAAGATGAAATATGTTTATCCTGCATATATCTATAACATATGATCACCCCATTGGATACTTTTAACTTTTGAATACCTTTCCACCATGAAACACACCGGATTTGCCTATAAATACACCAAATATTAGAGTAAAAGCAAAATTGCCAGTTGATATATTGAAGGAAGCCTTCAACAAAAGATGAAATATGTTCATCCTGCATATATCTATAACATATGATCACCCCATTGGATACTTTTAACTTTTAGATACCCTTCTGCCATGGAAAACCCTAATTTCACCTATAGAGTAACTGAAAAGTTGATTGAATGCAATATTACCTGTTAGAAAGCCTTTAACATATCTAAAAATTTGTCCAATGAGTGGATATCTGTCACCCCCTTTATCATATACTATCTTTGTCTTAGTGAGAACCTTCTCACAATACCTTGGTTAGTGGCTCGGTTAGCAATGGTTAGGTTTGATGAATCACAATCTGGTTAGTTAGTTAGTTAGTTAGTTATCTCGTTAGAGCCTTGGTTAGGATCAGTAATACAGATTCCAAACAAGGCAGCGACTAACACTAAAGTCAATCAAACAAGATTGACAGGATCAATCTATGATTCTTTTGAACGTTGTATGGTGAGTATGTAGTGGCAGTTATGAGACCTGAGTCTCTTCAACATCATGTTGGTGTCGTGATATAAAAGGGGTGTTGCACATGATTTGCAATATCGTAAGCAGAATAGTAAGTGTCTAGCTTACACCCTCTCATTCTCCAAAGAATCTTCCATGTCGTCCATCCATCTTTCCGTATCCATCGTCCCTTTTGTTTGTTCTTGAAGCTGTGAGTCTTGAGTGATTTCTTCTTCTTCCTCGTCTGTGTCCATATGGTGCTGATCTTCTTCGGCAGTACTCACGTTCATTCTTGCATTGTACTCTTGCAGTACACTTGTGCCTTCAATTACTTGTCACACGACTCATATGTCATTCTCTGTGCTGTATCCCCACCATTGTACAAGATATTGATGTCTGTGATCATTTCCAACCCACTCCAGGTCATGTTTCAAGGTGTCACCCTTGGGGCGGCCATTTGTGCTGTTCCCATTTCAGACAAATATTCTCAGACCAAACCACAGTGCCACGTAATTGGGAACTGGCCTGGTGGGGGATCAATTGGTCTGAAAGTGTGGAAGGGTGTAAGCTCGCTGCCTACCTGAGTTGCCATAATCAGCATAAATACTGTCTGTAATAAACAAAGTGCGCTTTGTTTATCACTGCCTTTTTGGCATAACAGTTAAGGGACCACAGTCTTGACCCCTTACATACCTTACGGGTACAACCCATATTGTACTGTATGACATATGGCTTGCTCAAAACCCTTGATGGTATGGCATGGGTCACTTTACAGGTATATGGACAGCTATATGGACATATGGGATATCAAAAAAACCTGGTTGTTTGGATGAGAAACTCCTACAGTTGTTAGCATGAAGGCACCTCAACCCTAATGATAATGATGACAATACAAGCAGATTGGCTCACTCAGTCAGTAGCAGGCGCAGGAGCATTGACACTTTCATCATGTGTCGACATTTTACACCAGAATGAGGCCCGTTAAGCCCATGACAAGAATCGCTGACCAACCACACGCTATGACAGATGCAATCCTTCAAATGAAATGTGTCCACTCACTCCTCTAGCAAGCCTGTAGTGAAGTCCATTCCTTCTTTTCCATCCTCTGTCACATTGAAACACTGTTTGTCCCATATAATGGTACATATAGCCATAGGGAACTGCACGGGTAAACCCCCAGGTATCGGAGGTCATACCCGCACCTGTACCCGCACCCTTGTAGGGTTTACCTGTGGGTATTGTATACAAATAAGAAATTTATTAGATAGTGAAACAATGAAAAAACACATCTACATCACCAAGTATGAGTGCAAATGAGCACAAAGAATGTGAATGATGAACGAGTGCGAACAAGCATGGACGAGCACAGACGAATGAGCGCAAATGAACAAGCATGAACATGCATGGATGAATGAACACAAACAAATGAGTGCGAACAAGCATGGATGAACAATGAGCATGAATGAATGAGTACAAACAAGCATGGACAAAGGCAAGTCAAAATCAGAAATGAGTCCAGGTGAGTCCAGGTGAGTTCAAAGGAGTGGAAGGAGGGACAAGATGGGACGAATGAGAGGGTGTGAGTGGTGGTATGCACAAGAGTAATCATAAGTTACTAAAAATGATCAGTTAGGATGATGAAGTAGCATAAAAACACGCACCTTGGCAGCCCTAATACCACCAACTCCCGTACCCGTGCAGTTCCCTATACTGTAGAGATACGACACTAGGTTCGTCACGTGCAGCCCATGACGATGTCACGCTTAGTCTTACAGGTTCGAATGTCCAGGTGACCTGTGACCTTACCCAAATAGATTCGCCTGCGGATCTTAGTGCTTCGCCGCTCGCAACGCCGTTTGCAACCATCTGACATGCTGCTTCGTGATTCAAGCAACTTGCTTCAGTCTGTCATGGATTCGCCTCGCATAGCGCTGACTGGTAACGAGTGGAATTGGAGACTCTGTGGTCTTAAAGCCTGCCAGGTGAGTCTACTACCGGAGCCGAATCCCCCTTCGACGATGCTAGCGAGCATGACCTCGATGCCAGTGACGTGCCAATGGATGCACTCCTTGATCATATGGCTTCCGGGGGTGAACACGTCCGTTCTGACTGCCGTATCGATGCAGATGGCGGACTTCTGTGTTCAAACCACTCCGAAGTCTATGATGTGGGTGACATTACTGCCAAAGATGTGGAGAGTGGCTCGAATAGTGTTCTGAAGGTTGATTACGGGCGTGGAAAGCGTAGACGCATCGCAAATTCGATGTATGATGATTTCTGGTCCCATTAGCGCATAACCTATGTTTTTTTCCCATATGTCACAAATTAGCTTCGTCCCACCAAAAATTCATGTGACAGTCACACCAAATAGATTCGATTCGTTAAGGGCTGTGACCTGTGACGAACCTAGTGTCGTATCTCTACAGTACAGCCGTAAAGTTACAGTTTTGTACAGTATTCGAATGACTGTACACCATACCCATCAATGAGACCTCTAAAGCCCCAATGGTTAGGGTACAGCACCCATATTACATCACCGTACATAACCATAATACTGCCTACCGTGGCCAGCCCTAGTCACCTGTCACTGCTGTATAGTTGATGTTATTACATCATGGTGTTATTTGCCCTAATTACATCATATCTACCGCTAAGAAGTTCCCTAGCTTATCTAATTTTAGAATGCTGTCATGTTGTTTGGGCATTTAATTATTCAATGGTACCGTCGCCAGCTTATCCATTTTTGGAACTTGTTGTGCGGCTATTAGTGTTTGGCCATGTTGTTGATCCCTATAAACAAACGCTGTTTGGTATCTTACGTAATTTTCCTCTCTTAACCTTCAACCACTACCATCTCCAGGTATTGGTACCTTCTTTCTACATGGCTCGAGCGCGTACGCTTGTGTCATTGTCTCTTTCCGCATCCGCTTCGACGTTGTCAACCACGTCTTTCTATATGGCTCGGGCGCGTACGCTCATGTCATTGTCTTTTTTCGCATCCGCTTCGACGTTGTCCACCCACGTTCACGTTTGTCCAAAACGTCTTATATGGCCCGAGCGCGTACGCTTGGTTCATTGTCTTTTTATGCATTCGCTTTGATGTTGTCGACACAGGCTCACGTTTATCGACAATGTTTTTCTACCACCTCGAAGTTCATCGCGCTGCCAGTGCGTTTTACCTTTCCGTTGTTTGCGTTCCGCACATCACTAACGTTGCCGTCATTCCTCAAATCAGTAGTCGTCATTGTTTGTTTCCTCCCACTCATTTAGTCATTCCTATCATTAACTCTTATTTCCAGCGACACCTTCCATGATTATTCGTCCATCCCTCGCTAAACCCTTTCCGTCAAGGTTGAATACCATATACTCGTGAGTTTTGTCTTTCCAACATCCGCTCTACAGGTGATATTGTGCTAACAGTGCTTTCAATCGCTACGCAGTGCGCTATATACACGGCTGGCCGCATCATGGAACGTCATTTCTTTCGGCAGCTTCGCGACTACCAGATGCTTGAGATCGTTCCATCCCTCTAGCTCCTCGCACCTTCTCTCGCTTCGCGCGCTCACAACGTCCTTCCTGTCATTGGCGACGATGCACGCACGTGTACCAGCGTATCCTGTCGCAGTCCGTTAACCAGATCGCCGTCATCCTGCTATTATACTCCCTTGCCATCCCCAATGACACCGTGGTTCACACGCTCGTCTTCAATGCGTTCGTTTTCACTCACGTCAACTCGTGAAGGCTGGATCGGAGGCTCAACTGGCTATCATCTTCATCGGTCAGTCAAGCTATGACATATCTGGACTACTCTCACAGCTGCTTTACAGATATTGCTGTGTCCATTAGGGGGCCATCCGCCTGCTGCTCAACGCACTCTTTGAACGCCTCTTCGTACCTCACGCTGTGAATTCTCCTATCGAGCTCTACAACTCGGTGCAACACCGGTGATGGTAAAACTCTGTACGCAAACTGGAGTTCATCCCTTTCGCTGGATCTTCATACCCACCCGTTCACACTCCGATCAAACTCAAACGCCTCCTCTACGCATATTTATGGCAGCTGGGCCCTATGCGCCTTCGCATCATGATGTGCACTCTCACCTTCGATATATTTCTTTTCCGTGTCACTTGTCCTTTCATTGAACTCCTGCCATCTCTACTTTCCCGCCGTTCAACGCTGTCCCCGTCTCGCAGCCGCGCGTATCGTTTCCGATCCAGCCTGTTCACGCTGTGTTTCTTGACGCCGATACGCTATGATTACCTCTATGACCACTTCATTCGCCACAGAGGTCTTTTCACACAGGTTTTACCTCGTTCAATCTTCGTTCATCGTGCTCGTCACTCTCTTATGTCTTTGTGAGGGTGTGCCATGGACTGTTCAATTGTCTCGTTGAGAGGGTGCGTTATTTATGCATTTTTATACCTCAGCGGTTCCTTCATCCACGCTGAGCCATGGTTCTTGTTTGTTTTTACGCCGTCTCTTACTCACAGTATTTCGTCCTTAGACCTGCCGCAATCACGCGGTACTCTATCGGACCTTGCTCGCTACCATGCCTCAAAGCCCTTCGGTACCCTCCGAAGGCAGGCTCCAGATATTCCACAATCGCTCCTCAACAGCGTTCACTGCGCTGTGTCTATCTCATCAGCTCGAATGATATTTCGAGGTTGGGTATGAGTATTCCGCGATCAGTGACGCTCGTCAGCCTCGTCCGTTTGAAAATTACATTTGCGATACCACCCCGGTTGTCAATTGGTTGGTCAACTAACTTGGCACGTTGATCTCCGATGCTAATGTCCTTCTCGCCAGTCACAACACAATTGCAGCCACCCGATTCACATATCCAAGTTGACTGGTACCTTAACGTGGCGTTGGTATGTTACCTTTTTTCCATTAGACCCGCGCTAAGCTACTATTTGTAGTCTCCGCACGGCTTGCCGTGGCCCAGGGAACTGTGGTCCATGAATTATCTCATTCATGGCAATCATGGGTTACAGCTCCGTTGGCTATATGAACAGGGTGGTGATTTTCATGCAGACCCATTCTCAGTGCGTGGTATTGCCGTTCGTTTGTGCTGATTTAGGCGTTAGATCTCTTGACACCGATACCCGAATCAACGTCAGGGCGCGACTCTTCTGTTACGCTCCAAATGGCGCTTTCATCAACGCAGCGGCCGAGGTCTTAGTAACCGGTCGCCTCTGCATCCTCTATGGTTACCTTGATTTTTCGCAATTATTTCACGCTGCTGTTGTGTCGTTTCACTTGTCTCTTTTGGCGTTACTGTCGCTATACATACCATCTCTATCACTCATGACGTGTATTTACTAATCTTGTGGGAGGAACTTGTCATCCCTAGTTCAAATGCAGCTGACCTTTAGCTTTCAACCGTTTTCACATCAACTAACGGAACGCACCTTTTGTAACAAGTTCTACCGTACGCAGGGAACCTTCCAGTCTAACCTGCACGCCCGCTGTAGTTTGGCAGCTGCATGGAGCGCTCGTCAATCATTCTATTATTATTGAATGCGCTATCGTATGCGATGCACAGTGCCTTCCTGTCATTAGGCAAGTCTCAAATGTTTGTGCGCAATGACTGGCTCACTTTGTCCGTTTTTCAGATTGAGCTTCACGTAGTGCGGTTTTCGTTTTAGCGCAAGCCTTGAGGTCTCATTTAGTGGTAGGATCAAAGTCCATGGTGTGAGCCAAGGTTGCGTCTATCGTACATCATTTTACATTAGAACAAGCGTTCCGAACACCTTCGGACGTTTCCTATCATCAATTACAGTAATAGATGCTTGTATACTACGTTCGCCGTCGTCATTCTCTATTGGAAACAGCGCCCTAATGTCTCGGCGACATCGCACTCTCGAAGGTGCCGTGCCTTCCGAAAGCGTTTTCCCAGAGTAGCATTTTGGATACCTACTACGCTGTGCAAAGAGGCTGATGGAACACGAAATGGACAAAACTTAGCATACACATTTGGTGGTTGCACATTGGTTCCGCGCGATCAAACGTTCAGCGCTTATATATGGGCCCTAAGTCTTTGGACACTTATGCATACTAACTAACCAACGTGTTTGCGAGGTTTACTTTGATTCCGGACGTTTGATTGGATTCGGAGGACGTTTTTGTTTCATTCGTAGTTGAGCTATCGAAGAACCTAGTTACCTGAGCTTATGTGAGCGTAGATGAAATATAAAATATAAAATATCAAAAGTTCGGGCTAGCTTACATAATCTACAACGCTCGTCCCTATGAGGCAACCGCTTCTCTCACTTACGTAATACTTTCTCTCTTGCTTCTCTACTTCCAACATCCCCAAGCGTTAATGCTTGGGCGTTCTCGGTCAGCGCGAACGCTTTTCCTACCGTCCTTCACTGTTAACGCATAGTGCGTCGTTCCTTCAACATCAACAAGCGCGAACGTTTGCTGGTGATCCCGGCCTCCTGGCCTGAAGGCAGCCTCCCAAAGGTGTTATCCTCCCCCGGTTCGTGGTCAAGAAATCTACGTGAGATTTCGGCTGCGCTTTGCCCTTCACGATCTACGTGAGATTGGTTGGGGACCGCCATTGGAACAAACTGTTGGGTTTTGCTGCTGAAACGCTGCGGTTAGCTGGGATGTGCCCTTATGCAAGGGTCAAAGCGCAACGCCTGGGTTAGACTTAAGCTTCACCAGGTGACGTTTTGCAGTAGCCAACAGCAATTGACATTAATCGCTTTATTTAGCAGCGCGCATGATGTCAAGATCTTGACCCGATTTGGCTTGTCTTTCAAGGGCCTCCGGAATGTCAGTAGAACATCATCATTAGGTTATATATGGCAACCGTTACCGTTACATATGTTTGACCAAATACAAATCCGTACTTGGTCACTTCGAAGAGCAGTAGTAGTCCCGAGCATCCATGTAACTTCGTACGAAGGCAAAAACATTTGCACTGCGTGCCTTACGCTGGCATATTTAACCAGCGCTTTGGGCTGAAATATCGCCCATAGCTCTTTTTCACCTGCCATGTAAGTCGCGCTGATATCACATAATATCTGGCCTCACTGAAAGCCTCTCAGGCCTCGCTGTACAACCGTCGGGTGCACGTACTTCGCTAAGGACCCGCGACTTCTCAACAAACATGTCCGCGCTGCACATACAGAGTTTGCATTCGTCGGTGAGTATCTCAATTCATCCGACCTCTTAAGACTAATTGCGCAAAGGCGGTCTTAAATTGCGTAGGCACAGCGACGGTTCTTTCCATTGCCCTGCGTGCAACAAGTCATCGCCCGATCCCCTTACCCTCAGCACGCATCATAAGCGGGAACATCTCCCTGCTGACGATCCACCTCTCAACCTCGACCAGGCAGATCTGAACGACGATGGCCTCGAAGGGGGAGGCAGCCCCAACCATGAGGAGGAAGGCAGCCGCCCGGCAAACCAGAGTCGGAGCCCCCATCCCACCCCTCCAATCCGTGACGAACTTCCCTCTCCCGCCACCTCCAGGAAGCGTAGGAGATCCAAAAATCACGCTTCCAATCAGGTTCCTCGAGGAGTAGTTTCAGTTCCCTCCGATACGGTATGTCAGAGTCATAACGTTTAAGACAACCCTGACGTTGATATCCATATGTTAGGCTGAGCCTACGGCAATTCCTACCTTATCCCCCGCTGATTCCCGCACTGCCATCGCTGCCCTCCACGGTATCAGTTTCATCGTCGACCCAACGTACAAACTTGCAATATGCATCGACTGTGAGATCGCAGTCCCTGCCAAGCACGTTCGCGGCCATGCTGTAGGGCAGCATTCATTCAAAGCCCCTCCCCAGGATGAGCTCGACGCCAATCTGGCCTCTTTAGGATGCGTCGATAAGTTCGTTCGACCCTTGGAAACCATTGCCCCCATCGTCGGCCTCAAGCTGCTCAAGGGTTTGATGTGTACGGTTGATGGGTGCAAGCACTTAACGGCGGCAACGCGTACGATGGCAGAGCACTTTCAGCTCCATCAC